CCACCATCCACGAAGACGAGTTACATATCATTGTACAGAGTGATTCACAAACAAATATGAGCCCAGTTTTTTTAAAATACATTTGAAGCTCGTATTTTTGAATACCTACTTGAAATTTTTGTACTGCTTTGGCCCTTAAAAAGTTAGTTCTGTAGAGAATGGGTATGCAAATACATTTTTTGAAAGAACTTCAATTTAACAAAATGATCTGTTTAGTGAAATACTTGTGAGAATCGAACCAAATTAGAACAACATTTATTTAATTCTATCAAACAAAAATATATTCTCCATTGTATGAATTTATTTTGTTGACTACGTACGAAGTCTCACTGTATTTATTTGTTTATATTTACGAAAAAGAGTTAGAAAAGATATTCGAAAAAAACAGAGAGGATATGCAGGTATTGTTTTCTTCTTAATTGATTTAAAAATTATTGTATAAATAAACTATATATACTAATAAGAACACAGGTAACTATAAACGAATTATTTGTATTATTGGTTTTAATTGTGTATAGCCTAGTTGTTACTTGTTTAATTGTTTTGTATGTATAGTCCACTATCCAGGCGCCCAGGCCAGTATCATTGTTTCTATGATATTCTTCGTGTCCTGGCGTATTTAAGAATTTAACATGGGGAGGGTTCAGATAACTTTCAGAACAAAGATCCGCGGGGGGGGGCTTTGCCTCCCACAACTTCAAATTTGTTTTTATTAAATAAATATAACATATTCAATTTAAAAGTCTATGTACTATTTTTGAGTTTTTTATTATATAATATATATATTTGTATCATATACTTTGTAATAATAATAAAACCATGATTAACTAACTAAATATGTAAGTAGTTCACTAGTAAACGAATACATTGCTGACATAGGTAGGTACCTAGTTAGTTCATGATTACAACAATTTAAAATTTATATTTAAGTGTTATAAAAAACCCATGAGAACTAAATACTGTTCACTATGTATTGTGAGATTAGAGAACAATATCTAATTGCCTAGGACTTAGAGCCATATTATTATTAATTGTATTTATATTGAGGGGTGTATCTCGATGAATTATAGTCATCAATGGCAGTCAGTTTAGTTTATCCTAAATATAAAACAAATTTAAAATATACTGTATAACTCGGTTATAACTTTTATAATAAATGTGTCCTAAATTACTTCATTCATAGTTAATCTGAGATAAGTTTTCAACCAAAATATACTTTGGGAGTAGCTGTAGATACTGGCATTGTAAATTGATGTCCAAAAAATCACGATATTAATTAAAAATTTTGTCAATTAAAACGAAGAATTTTTTTTACAAACCTATCGTATGATAATTTTTTTTTTTTAATCATGTAAAACACGAAATTTAACGTGTATAAGATACGAGTCAATGGGAGGGGTCCAGACCCCATGGACTTCCCCCACCCCGTAAATACGCCACTGTTCCTGTCTAATTGAATCTCTTATCTAAATTATATGTATACAAGCATACTATAATCTCTTAGCATTTAGCATAATATTATTCTTAGTATGCATTATGTATAATAACTCGGAAACTATTCGTTTGAATTTTGATTTGGAGACAATAACACTTTCAAAAATTTTTTTTGCTGAATAATTTAAAGTTAAATTAAAGGATGGTTCTCATTTGAAAGAAAAACAAAAGATGGCATCGCCACAAGATACTTCTTAAACGGTACAAAAAATATCAAACTTTGAAAAGTACGATCTTTTAGTACTTTTAACAATTTCCATTTAATAATCAGGTTTCTAATAGCTGAATTTAAGACGAAAAAAAAATGAGGCGAACATGCTTGATTAATCACCCTGTATATTGCTTGTAAGGAAAACACCCCTATAAAAACGTTAAGTGATTTATCGGGAAGTCTTATTTGATTGCCGCGGCTATACCCTTGTCCTTGTGATTCCTGCAAACTACCATCCGGAAGCGCTCGGCACGCCCCATTAATATATAAAAAAAAATTAATTAGAGGTTGACATTTAAATAAAATAATGGCGGTAGAACTCAAACACTCTCCGAGATACAAAAAAAGAAATTTTAGTACCTACCTACAACATTCGTTTCGTGTTCTACTGTAATGTAATATTTTGTTCAGACACAAAAGTGGACTGGAAAAAAATTATTAGTGCCAGGTTAAAAAACCATTCAAAGTAACACTGAGAGTCTTGTCAACTGTCAAGTGTCGGCCCGGAGCTATCTCTATGGCGGGTGGGGGGGGGGATACGATCCCATAACTAATATTTATTTTTAGTTGCCAAGCAAACAAATTTTTAATCCCAGGTCCCTTAAATTTTAGTTTAGCCGTGACCACTTGTAAGTCGTAACTATATTAATAGGATATAATGCTGTGCACCCCTATTTGTATTCTCGAGGACTTATAATCGAGTATAATATATTTCTTATGCAAGATTTACGTTCATAAAAATCCATTTGGTTTTGTTAGTTTTGACATTTAAATCAATATTAACCTATTATCGATGTACTTCTAGGTAAGTATGCAAAATATAACGATTCGGAGAAATTATTATAACACTGTATGAACCAACGAAGTTTAAGTATCGTAAAAACTGACAAGACGTTATCGACGATTGCTTTTTTTTTTTAATACGTCGATAACAATTTAATTTATTTATAGGATGATTCACACCAAGTATAATTACTTCCAGTTTTTTCTTAAATAGTTGATTTTAAACAAATTCAGATTTTTAAAATTTTTAAATATAATTTTAAAGACCATAATATTATGGATCTATTAGATCAAGTGTTTACTATGGTTAAACTATGTTTACAAATTATAATAATTATGGTTGGTAGAAGATTGCTCACTAACATTTTTAAATCACCGTAGCCTCCGTATCATTCAAACAGATTGCCGTGTACCTTTAATTGTTCTAAGTAGCTAATTACTAAAAATTTAATAAAACAAATACTACTCATTCGAATTTTAGTTTTTATTCGTCAAAATTTTCAGAAAAATGATCCTCTAAATAATTTACAGAATAGGAAAATAGGGGAGTTCTTAATTGAAAAATAGATGTTTGTATCCACTCCACCGGACACTCTTTAAGTGGGTTGAACATGTCAAGAAGTAGTGGTACTCTAAAAGCTCATAGACTGTACTCTGAAAAATCTTCCATTGTAAAAAAAAATGGAATGTATTATTATTCATATAAAATATTATTTGGTTTATTTGATATTATTAATAATAATAATAATAATAATAATAATAATAATATAAATAATAATTGTACATATTTTACTGTATTTGTATGCATCAAATGCTTAATAATTTTGTAGTTTCTAATGCAATAGAATTCTATACATGTAAAATAAATTGTAAATTCTTGATAAGACAAAAAAACGTTATTTGGTCGAGTGATACATGGACATTTTCAAACTGTATAGGCGGAACGGGGATTCAAAAAGGTTGAGAACAGCTGATGTAGGTACACTCGGTGGACCGTCTTTCTCTTGGTCAGCAGGTGGTCAGCTGTTCCCGGTTATTTCGGTATTTCGTTGTAGGGGTCGTGTTTTTTTTTTTTTTGAGCCCCGTCTGTCTTATTATTACATGCAAGAAATGCATATTTCTCCTCGCTGGCTGATGACGCGATTTGTTTTTGACATGGTTATGATATGGGTAAGCGTGGAACTCTGGTGGATTCCTCTCCAACTCCAGTGCCAAATTCACAGGAGACCGACCTCCGAGAAGGAATTACTGCAGCAGCATTTCTAAATTAATCACAATCGTCTGTCCCGAGTTCCAACCGAACTTTCACCCTTGTCGTCGTCGTCATCCCCCTCCCTCTCTCGCGCGGCTTGTGCAAATCGACTGCCCCCCCCTCCCCCCATGACGATGGTGCAGCGCACGCATCACTGCAATGTGACGAAACTATATATAATTATAAGTAGGACACTCGTAGAGTGGTGTTATACATAAGTGATATTTAATCAAGTCATTTACCCACGCACATGGATGATTCGCACGAGTTTCGGATTTCGAACCGTTCAAGGGGTGTGAGTATCATGACACTATAATATAGTTTATGCCAGGGGTCTTTGACCCGCAAACCCCGCGGCCCTTGTCTTTATTTTAGGCCCACGTACACACACAGCAGGGTAAGCATAGCGCGTAATTTTTTTTAGCACTTTTTAGCACTTTTTTAATACGTTATGTTTCTATTACAAATAAGGCCCGATAGATTTTTTGAAAAAATAAAAGGTGACCCACCATCTAAAACGGTAAAAAACTAAACTCCAGGGGGTAGTGGGGCTAGGTCTGTTTTAATTATCAACGATCTATAGTTATACCTACTCGAAGTGATAATTTAGAAGATTTTTGTTTTCAGAAAACAGTAACGTTTTTGAAAATATTTCTCTTACATAATTTGAAGTCGTTACTATTAACATCATTTTTGGATTAAAATTATATTTTTTACTATTTTTCATCGTCATTACTAATCAATCATCATATTGGAAGTTTTTACTATTTTAAATAATAACATATATTTTTAAATTATATACTTCGGTGCTTAATATTATTCGCAGTATTTTGACGTATGTATTTTATTTTAAAAAAAAAATGTTGTTTTTAGCGACTTGAAAATTATTTAAAAAAACTGTTTACAAAAACTTTTTTCTGAAATAATGAGTGTCTCCCGTGAAATAGATCATCCAGTATATTTATAACTCTGAGCTCGTCTTTTATAAACTTCTATGCATATTATAAATTTCAATATAACATAGCTATAGAGTGAATTAACTATTAAAAAATATTTATATGATATAGGAAATATATAATATTTTAAATATTATAATAGTGGTGTAAATGCTAATAAGCATATATATTTTAATTTCGGAAATTAGCAATTAAAATATAGAAATGGTAAGAAATGATAGATCATTAGGCAATCTCCTCCTGAGCTCATTAAATTATCATTAAATAGTTTACAAACCCTTAAAAAGGTGGATAAATTACTTACATAGGTATAATACGGAGTTCAAAATAGTCGACACTGAAGTTCCAAAGTGATTCTGATTAATATGGATGCTGTAACAGAAATTATAGAGATAATAATGTTAAATTTTTGTATCAAGTTTTGAATTTATTAGATTCGTCATTTATGTTTAACTTAGTCCAACCTAAACAAAAAACGTTTTATACACTTATAATTTTAAAGTTATAACAAAATATAATAACGTATGAAAATACAAGTTATTTATAAACTTTTATGCGTTTCTATTAGAATTAGATTGAATGCCATTATTCCCGTATAATTAAAACCAAACAATTGGCTTGAATATCATGACTACAATACTACATTATAGTATATATATTTTATTTTTAGCTTTCAATACTTCAGGACCTTTGATGTTAAATGGATAACCTGTTGAAATTAATACAATTATACGAGTTGGATTAAAATAATATACATTTTACAAAATTATTAAATCCATTGAATACTGATATCCGAAATATAAATAATACCAAATTATCAGAAACAAAAGGATTATTTGAACATTTTAGAGCCATTAACCTAAGCAATTTATAAATTAGGCATCATGGCTAGAGTTTAGCCTTCAAATATTAACATATTATAATTTTTTCCGCTTGCATTTTGAAAACGACAGAATTTGAACGATTATATAATATTAAATATGCACGAATTGGCTAATGTGACTTATTAGATAGATTTGTCCATATTATTATATCATTAATTTCATTTTACTTTATAGTCTCAGTTATTTTATTTTTTGTTAAATGTAATTCGTTTACATTAACGTTAAGCTGTTGCCTGTTGGTAAATATATTATTATGTAAAATATTGTTAACCACGGTTTTGAATAATAGACATTATATTAACGTCAAAATTAAATGGGTTTCTTTTGGTTTTTCAGAATATAAATTCTTTTCACAAAGCTAAAGAAACAAAATAATTAAGCGACTGCTAAATATTGTATAATTTTACGTAAGCATAACAAACAATGTTTTAAACTTATGTTATACAACAAAACGCGTTTCTCTCAGACTGCTGCAGTTGGGAAAAAGCATATTATCGGAATAAGTTTATAGTGGGCAAGTTTGTTTTGTTTTTATTATTATGTAAGACGTCGTGAAGTCGGTTATGGCATCACTTTTGTTTTCTTTCATAGTGTAATAATATGTATTATTATGATGCAAACGAAAGTATTCAAGAAAATTATAGTTAATTAATTGTTGTCAGCCATATATTTACTTTTTCGAGATGAATGAATCATGGTGTTGTCGTGAGAAGGATTTTTGATTTCTATTTTAGTATTGTTATTGACTATTGTTAAAATCCGTAACAAACTGTAATATAAATCAGTGGCATGTTTAGGAATTTTTAATGTATCAATTTCCCACCGACTCCCTCCACACCATGTAGATAACTTCCCAGTACAGTGGTTCAGTTGATTCACCCTCACCACCCCTTATAGGCGAAACTTGGAGTGCGATTGGGAGCCCCCCCCCCCCGAATACTAGATAATAAGTCACAATAAATGTTTTGATCAATGAGGCAAAAAAATGGCTATACAATATTATGCCGCAAGACTATTTCTTAAACTTAGATTTTCTCAGTATTGAAAGGGGACCCTATGTCCCTATGGTATTGATACTTATTATCAATTGCATAAAAAACGGCGATAGGTGTACTGGAAATATATATTTTCAAAAAATATACATAATAATATAATATAATATTATGTATTGCAAATGTATAAAATATATTGGAAATTTATTGGAAACTCACAAAAACACGCGGACATACAAACTTCTAACTTGGTAGAGAGGTGGTTTGAATATTTTTATATGGAAAAAGTACAAGGACCATAGACCTCTCGCTCCCATCTACAATTTAGGTCCTAATTGTGCTTTTAGCCTTTATGTCCCCGCACTGCACCTCCCTATAGCAAACTATGACGGCAAACGAAATTGATAAAAAAAAAACAACTAAAATCACGATAATTAATTCACTGGTAAAATAAAACGATAAAAGTGTCAAAAAATGTTAATAACATTCATCGTAATAATATGAATAACTTATTCATACCGAATTATGGTGTTGACGTGCCATTGGTTTTTTCGTCCTCGGCACAGACCTGCAGAGTTTGTGTTTTCATTTGTATATTGTTTTTTAAAATTCAAAACGTAGAATGATGTATTAATATGCAGATCAGTGACATATTTTTATTACGTAAATAAATTGTAAATTTAGCCAATTTGTTCAACAACTATTATAGTTTTTGAGAATTGTAATAATAATATTTTTTACTGTGTATAATTTTGTTATTAATTATTATTGTGATCTGTTTTATTTTCATTTTTTATGTTAAAATTATGACGTTACATAAACTTTTAATTCTGTCTTATTTTTAGTTTACTTTTAATTTGAACTCAGCTCATCCGTATTCGATCATAATAAATGTATGCTTATTGTATGAGCTTGCGACTTGTTTATTAAATATGTTTTTCTATATTATAATTGATATTCATCGTTTATTGCAATAAATTATATTATCGTTATTATTATTTAGACATTTTTCACAGGTCAATTGTTCAACCCCTCAGTGATCATCAAAATATTTGATATTATATAGAAAAACGATTAATATCAATTCTGAGTTCGTCCATAATATAGTGCAATAATATGTCGTTTCAAATTATTAATAGTGCAACCCGAAAAAAGTGTGGTGTGAAAAAAGATAATGTTCTATGCACATTATGTAAGTCAATATAAATCCGTTCAATGTTCTTTTGGTTCGTTAGGCACTTAAGATGTACCATAACTCATTTTTTGTCGGTTGAAACACACACTGGTTAGCCGTGGTAACACGTTGCCGGTATAGGTTGTTTTTAATTTCGTTATACATATTTTCAGTCACAATGATCTCACGACACCATATACTGCAATAATAATAATAGCGAAAGTATCCGTGAATACAGTGTACCCGGTTAAAACCGAAATCCAAAATAAGTAAAATATTTCTTCCATCGTTGAAATATTACGGTTTCGATATAAATTGTTAAATTATAACACCGAGACATTATATAATATTATTAATTTCGCGAGGGCGGCGCGTCAACAACATTTATCATTATATGCAAAGTGCATTGCCGTTTTTGTCCTCACGTTACAAAGCTGCTCCACCTGCCTCCTCCCCGAACAATGTATACCAAACGCTATCATTGACGACTTCGTAACAATATAGCTGGGCATACAATAGGTATAATATGTTATAAAACAATAATAATTGTGCATTATATACACTTAAAGATCATCATTTCAATTTCTTGAGATTTTTTCTACTACTTAAGGATTGTGACAATGTACATTTCTGATTTTCAAGATGAAAAGCCTACTTTTTAAAGTACTTTATTTAGTGGTTTTAATTTACAGTAGAAATGGGGAAAAAAACAAAATGTTGTGTCTCCTTAAAGTTCTAACTGCGTAGTACGAAAAAATCCCAAGGAATTGAAAATATGGTAGTTAATTGTGTATTGTTTAAAAATCAGATTTTGAATAGCTGCGTCATTGAAGAGGAAAAAGGGATGAGCGTGTTTGGCGAATCCATATTGTATATATTTTACGGTATAATATTATGTAGTGTAGTTGCTGTAGGTACAGGGTTATGTTTTGGACGAACTCTGTCCTCCGTATATTATATGCTTTATTCGATTTAATGACGCAAAACTCTTTGAAACGTTAGCCCTTTAATTTATTATACGATATTGTTTTAACTCGAACCGAACCTGCAGCTGTCGGCTAAACGATGTTTCCAACGTCTGTCTCACCTCGTCGTCGAATCCTCCCTCAAGATAGTCTCTCCCTTCGTCTCGTCACCCGTATTCCTCTTTGAATTATCGTTTCTGTATACACGCACAGTGAACTTTTTTCTTATCGTTCCTCACCGTGTACACGACTCGTAGTACGACACCTAACCACAATACTGCTTACCACTTCTACTACCTACTAGTACTGTCATCAATATGATTATATAATATCACATATTCCTATGAACGAGGCGTTGTCATTGCTAAAGGCACAACTAGGCTTCCATATCTCAGGGAATTTATATTGGCCGTGAAAAGTCACTAAAAATTTTCCATTGAATGCGACATAAAATTGGCTAACTGTAGCAGACTATAATACCTTCAATTTGGTAAATGTTTGGATTTGTTACATAATTTAAGAAGTGTCTTGTGGCCATACAATTTTTTTTTCAAATGAGAACCAATCTCTTCACTATAAATTCTTAGAATTAATTATTACTAAGCTGATTTTGTACTTATAAAACTAAATAATAATCGATAGTCCTTAAATTGGTATATTTAAAAATTCTGATAAACTATTAAAGGCAAAATGGGGATTTGCATATTTGGTGAATCGTACTGTGGATAAATTTAAATAATTATTGATGTAAATTTAAATTTATTACACATCACAAATTTACGAACTCAGTAAAGAGGTGTATGGGAAATGTCCACACGTTAGACTGACGAGGAAAAAATATGTTGGGCAACAGCCACCTCCTCATTAGCCGAACCCCTCCCCGGGGTGTTATTCGTTACACTTCAATCGGAATAAACAAAAAAAAAACACAGTAAAAAAAGTTTTTTTTTTGTTGTTGAAAATAATGCGCTTTATCGAGTTTTCAAATTCGGCTCTATTTAAACGACATCTTGTAGATACCACGATTACCACCCATTCCGTCCGTCTCTGCCTTACTCCCTCCCAAATTTGGTCATAGTTGTGCCTATATACATATATATATTGTATATACTGTACTCCTATATGCTGTTGTCATACTGCGGCAGGCACACGCCATACAATAAGAATATGCACTCGAAGGCATTCACGCAACAATCTTTTCTTACGAATTATATATATATATTATATTATATTATACTCAGCCGGTTTATGCTTTATACAATAATATAGATCCTCAGGCCAAAGCGCAGTATTATATTACCACGATTACTGCACCCCATCCCGTCCGTCACCGAGGTTCATCGTCACAGTTTACACA